AAAAAAAAAAACAAACAAACAAAAAAAAAGGGTCCTTGTATTAGAAGAAATACGGTTTGCCGCTGTCTTGGAAAATAAGAAACCAATTCCAATGAGATAAAGTCTTCTCTCAATGACAGAACAGGAGCAAGCCAGTGCTCTCACTGGTTCTTTATCTCCCCAAGTTTGTCTACAAGTGATAGGAAACGTGAGAGCAACATGCCAAAGACAGGCATCGTCCCCGCTGATAAGTCTTTGGGAGGCCTAAACCATCTGTGTCACTAAGAACCACACAGTAGGAGTCAGAGCATCAGGTCCAAGAATACCGGGCCACCCTACTGTCCCTGCAGGAAAACCCTGGCCCAGACCCTGGTGTCAAAGGAGGCAGACCAGTTATTCTAGCCAAGCTTCCCACCGATGAGAACGCAGCAGCCGTCCTAACAGACTCTGACGGTTCAACAGTGCAGGACTCATCTTGATCGCTGATAAGGAAATCATTTCCGATGTTCAGTCCCTGGACAAAGCTGACTTTGGATTTCTCTGCCAGAAGCCATGGAAGCTGAGGATTGTTTTCCAGCTTAACAGGGTGATGCTAACACACCCTGAATGTCCTTTCTCATTTTATTGTTTTTAATTTCTCAAAAGATCAACATCAACGGTGTCGTTAGATGGACTTACTTTCTGCTGTAAGCATTAACTGTGTGTTTTCTACACTTGGAAACAACCACACTGTGTAGAAAGCTGTACCACTCCTAACGGTCAGGAAGAAGAAGTACTAATTACATCAGCAGCATGTTCTAGGTCCTCTAACTAAGCATCAAGAGCAGGTCACAGGAGCTAAACTAACTCCTAAAAGCAGGGGCTGGAGAGACGGTTCACCAAATAAGAGCACTGGCTGCTCTTCCAGGGGACCCTGGTTTCATTTCCAGCACCCACATGTTGACTCACAAAAGTCTGTAACTCCAGTTCCAGGGGATCCAATGGTCTCTTTGGACCTCCATGGACACTTGGCACACACATGATGCACAGACATATATGCAGGCAAAATAGACACACACATAAAATAAATAAACTCTGAAAACATAAGCTCTTACAATTATATCTGAAACATTAAGCACAAAGGCTATTTAGAGTCAATTGTGACTGTTTGAAATGTCACAGGTGCTGATAAACAAGAGCTTTTTTTTTTTATCATGCTTACCAGAATTAAAGTACCAAGCCTTCCTGTGTACATACCACCTCACTCTGATTGCAAGTTTTACTAACCATCCCTTATGCTCGTGAGCTACTTTGTGTGTGGCATCTTTTTTTTTTTTTGGTTTTTCGAGACAGGGTTTCTCTGTGTAGCTTTGCGCCTTTCCTGGAACTCACTCTGTAGACCAGGCTAGCCTCGAACTCACAGAGATCCGCCTGGCTCTGCCTCCCGAGTCTGGGATTAAAGGCGTGCGCCACCACCGCCCGGCGTGTGTGGTATCTTGTACAGCCCTCCTCATGACTAGAGATCCAGAGGTGGAAGCTCCCTTCCCTCATCTCTGCAGTTGCTACTGATTTCAGGAATGTCCGAATTCTAAGACCATTACATTCTCCAATGTGCTGAGAGTTTCCATGGCTATTCAACTGAACAGGTCCCAGTACACTCAAAGCCACAGGGTTTGTCTATCTATATTTACCTGCCCTTTTATATTCCCCTTATGACAATGTTGCAATTCTCAGAGCTTTTCATATTTTTGGAGATTTCTTTTTAATGTCAGGGAAGTGCTTTTTAAAGAGTCTTATCATTATTTATTTTATGTGTATGGGTATTTTGCCACATTCTCGTGTGTGTGTGTGTGTGTGTGTGTGTGTGTGTGTGTGTGTGTGTGTATGCTCATGCTACTGGATGCCAGATGAGGGCATTAGATCCCCTGGAACTGGATCCTCTGGAAGAGCAACAAGTACTCTTTTTGTTTGTTTGTTTTTTCGAGACAGGTTTCTCTGTGTTGTTTTGGAGCCTGTCCTGGATCTCACTTTGTAGCCCAGGCTGGCCTCAAACTCACAGAGATCCGCCTGGCTCTGCCTCCCAAGTGCCGGGATTAAAGGCATGCATCACCACCGACCAGCGATACAAGTACTTTTAACCACTGAGCCATCTCTCCATCCCTTCAGAGATTAAAAAAAAACAAAAAACAAAAAGGATTTATTTTATTTTCATTTTTGTTTCCGTGTTGTGTGTTTGCATACATACATGTGGGTGCCCTTGGAGGCCAGTAAACGGGATCAGATCCTCCGGAGCTAGACTTACAGGCTGTTGTGAGCCACTCCATGTGAGTGCTGAGACCCAAACTAGATCCTCTGCCAGCACAGCAAGTGCTGTCAGCCACTGAGCCGCAGAGATTATTTTTGTGACTCGCCCTTTCTTCCCTTCTTACTGCTCCTTCCTGGCCTGTCTCTGGTTGGTTTCCTCCCTCTCCCAAATCCCAGAAAGATAAATACCACCCTGACCACCACTGAAGCCCTATCACTGTCCTGGTACTCACCGAACACCTGGCTCACAGACTACACTGCCTATCAGCTGGGGGATTCTAAAAGAGGTTCAGAATATGGCAGGGGCTAGAGATCACAGCGAGGTTTCTGGAAGAGAGAATCACAAACTTCACATCAGCCAGTGAGCTCACAAAGCCTTGTTGATCTACAATCGTTCTGGACACAGAATTCAGGAAATAATTTTCTTGGTCCCTTAAATTAAGTCTTTTATCCATTAACACGTCAAGAAAGAAAGATAAACCAGGGGAAAAATCAAAATTTCCCAGAAGGCTAGAAATGAGAATTCTAAGTGCCCAATCCCTTCTCCTCTGGTTAGAGCACACCGCTGGCTGTGAGTCGGCCTCCAAAGGTGACAGTGGTACCTAGGAAACCAGGCTGGATGCTTGGCGACAAACAGGAAGTCTGGATATGCTCTACTGCTTCCAGAGTAAGTTACCTCCTTCTGATCCACCCTTCAATGCAGCTGTGTTTAACTGGAGTGGTGGTGTACACCTGGAATCCCAGCACTTGGGGGGCTGAGGAAGGAGGACTCGGGCATCGAAGGGCAGCCTGGGCCATGATCCAGTAGCCAAACAAGCAATCCTACTTCACT